TCCATTCTCTTTGGAAAAGCAATGGAAAAATATCCTCAGGTGAGGATTAACAAAAAAGGAAAACATAACACTTCTTAATATATATGCATCCAACCAGGGAAATATATAAGGCAACTACTCACAGAACTAAAGGGATAAACAGATCAAAACATAATCATAGTTGGGGACTTTAATACTCCATTGACAGCTCTAGATAAATCATTCAAACAGAAAATCAATTAAAAAATTGACCTTAAATAACCAAAATGGACGTAATGATATTTATAGAGCCTTTCATCCCGGAATATTAGATTATACATTTTTCTCCAGTGCACATGGAACATTCTAAAGGAGAGACCATATGTTGGGCCACAAAACTAGCACCAACAAATTCAAGATTGAAATTATACCAAGCATATTCTCTGATCACAATGCCTTGAAATTAGACATTACCAGTAACTGCAAAAAGGAGGTAAAGAAACCAAAAAATACATGGAGATTAAGCAACATACTACTAAAAAAATGACTGGGTCAAATAAGAAATAAAAGATGTGATCAAAAGATATATAAAGACAAATTAGAATGACAATATGGCATATCAAAACTTCTGGGATGCAATGAAAGCAGTAATGAGAGGGAAGTTTATATCGTTATAGGCCTATCTCAAGAAACAAGAGAAATCCCAAGGAAACAATCTAACATTACATCTTAAAGTACTAGAAACAAAAGAACAAAAGCAACCCAAGTCAGCAGTAGAAAGAAAATAATAAAATTTAGAGCAGAATTGAATGAAATAGAGAACAAAAAGAATATACAAAAAATTAATAAAACAAAGAGCTGGTTCTTTGAAAAGATTAATATAGAGCTACCATATGACCTGGCAATCCCTCTCTTGGGTACATACCCCAAAAACTTGAAAACACATATTAGCAAAGATATATGCACCCTTATGTTCATTGCAGCATTATTCACGGTTGCCAAGACATGGAAACAACCGAAGTGTCCTGCGATAGAGGGCTGGATAAAGAAGATGTGGTACATATACACAATGGACTACTACTCAGCCATAAGAAAGGATGAAATTCTGCCATTTGTGACAAACACGGATGGACTTTGTGAATATTGTGCAAAGGGAAATAACGCAGGCAGAAAAGGCTAAGAACCATAGGGTATCACTCATATGTGGGACATAAAACTGAAACTCCTGATCACACGCTGCAGTGAGGGTGTTGCCAGAGGGAAGGGGGCGGAGGTGTGGAGAGTGAAGGGGACCTAATATATGATAACCGAAGCTATTTGACTCTGGGTGGTGGGCACACAGTGCAATAAACAGATGTTGTAACACAGAAATCCACACCTGCAACCTATATAATCATATTAACCAATGTCACCACAATACACTTAATTAAAAAAGTACGTGCAGACATTATATTTTATCACTACTTTTAAAAGGCGTTTTGCATAACATTTGCTCATCTCGTTGACCCATTATTTACCACTTTTAACTTCAAATTTAGCTGCTTCCAACTATGTAGCATCCAAATCCTTGCCTTGACTCATAAGGTTTATAATATTTGGAAGTTAGGCTAGGGAGAAAAATTTAACATCAACCCTAAAACGTGATAAACTGTGATTTCAACACTGTCTTCTGTTTTTTAAAATAGTTTTTATTGACGTTTAGAGAGAGAGGAAGGGAGAGGGAGAAAAAGATCGATGTGAGAGCACATCATTCATCAGCTGTCTCTTGCACACACCCTACTGGGGATTGAACCTGCAACCCAGGCAGGTGCCCTTGACATGGGATCAAACCTGCAACCTCCTGGTGCATGGAACGACACCAACCAACTGAACCACCCGGCCAGGTCCAACACTACCTTCTTAAAACTGTGCCTGGCATATTACTATCAAGCATCATTACTGTCAGTCCAAATATAAAACATCAACTCAATTCCCCTAGAAGAAGTGCTCATTAATCTAAAAATACAATTATTTTCCCAATTAGACAAAAGCATAGTTTCCAGTCCCATCTTCAGTATAGGCATACATTAGAGATATTGGAGGTTTGGCTTCAGACCAACACAATAAAATCAATATTGCAATAAAAGGAGCCATACAATTTTTTTTTGGTTTCTCGCTGCTTGTAAAATTATGTTTATACTATGCTGTAGTCTTATTAAGTGTGAAGTAGTATTTTTTACATCAAAGGGTTTTCAATTCCATTATATGTTAATTCTTTCATCTTAAAAAAAAAAACCACCACACAAGCTATTTCTCTCATCTTAAAAAGAATGCCTCACCCTGATCCTAATTTCCTTTCACCTACCACCCCATTTCTTTTCTACCTTTGGCATCCGAAAATGAGTACGTCCCAAACCAAACTCTCTTCTTCCATCCACTCTTCTGTATCTCAGTTAATAACAACTCTACCTTTCTCTTGTTCTGGAAAATGAGTCATTAACGTCATCCTGGACTCCTCTCTGATTGTCCACCTTGCATACAGTTCATAAAGACATCCTGTTGACTTGACCTTCCAATTACTTCCAGAATTCGACCTACTTCTTACCACTTCCACCACTGCCACCTAGTCCATCTCTCACCTGAGTAATTACCTTCTAATTGGTCTTTCCGTTTCAACTCTTGTTCCTCAAAAGTCTATATAGCAGCCAGAGTGGTTCTTTTCAAAATGTAATTCAGATCTTAACACTTCTCAGCTTGAAATCTTACCATGGTTCTCCATTTTTCTCAGTGTAAAGGCTAATATCCTTACAATGGCAAGCAAGGTGCTGTGTGATCTGTTCCCTGGCTCTCATTCACTCAACTAGTCGTACCAGCCTCCTCTTCACTTCTTGAACATACCAAGTATGCTCTAGCTTGGGATATTCAGATTCACTTTCCTTCTGTCTGGAATGCTCTTCTTCCCTCTCCTGACCACCACATAATTCACACCTCTTCTCCTTCAAGTCCCTGTTCAAATACCAGCTTCTCAATGGTGCCCATCCTGACCACCCTGGTTAATTCACAACCTCTTCCCAAGAACTCCCAACTCCCTTTGCTCTACTCTTTTTTTTTTTTTCTACTAGAGGCCTGGTGCACGAAATTCATGCACCGGGGGTCCCTCAGCCCAGCCTTGCCCTGTTGCAGTCTGGAATCCCTCTTGCAGTCTGGAACCCCTAGCTCCTTACCGCCCACCTGCTCATTGCTCCTTACCGCTCGGCTTGCTGCTCTTTAGAGCTGCCATGGAGTGAGGAGAGGCTCCTGCCACCACCACTGCGCTTGCCAGCTATGAGACCCACTTCTGGCTGAGCGCCACTGCCCCTGTGGGAGTGTACTCACCACCAGGGGGCAGCTCCTGCATTGAGCGTCTGCCCCCTGGTGGTCAGTGCGTGTCACAGCGACTGGTCATTCTGCCATTCAGTTGATTTGCATCTTAGCCTTTTATTA